GAAACACCAAGTCCTGCAGAGCCCCACCACAGCATGGCCGATATGTGACACTTATTAGTGTGTGCCCTGCGGACTTCTTATAACTGCACCCTATAATGTAACCCCCCACCCACCCTTTTCTGTGCAACGCAAAGACTCTGTTTTTTCTGTTTGTCTTTTATTTCCTTTCTAAGAACCTCCAGCTATTATAATGAATTCCTCTGAACTCAATGGCCTGTGTAAATAGAGTTAATCCCCTAAATCTATTGCTTTCTAGCAGAAAATGCATTGCCTTCCAAGTCGTTGTGCTTGAGCTCATTTCGAGACGCACACATTTTTGCATTGTTACAGTGATTTTCTTGTACTTTTTAGGATTTTTCATTGCCGATGTAGGCCAGATTTAGTTTTTCGCAAGATGAAGTTTAAATTCTCCAGTCACACTGGAGAGATTTAGTCAGGGTGTTACGCTCCAGAAATACAAACTTTGGTTGCATGAATTTGCTAAGCTTTGCATTTCTTATTCATTGCTGCTGTCTGTGCCAGACTGCTGCAGTGTACAGCTGCTTCAATAGAGCACATTGAGTCACATAAAAAGAGAGTTTCACACCTGTTCAGCATTTTCTTTTCTGCACAGCCTGTCTCACAATAAACTTACTTCCACAATAACTTTAAGGCAAAATTCAAGTGTTTGTGTATTTCTTTCTAATTTAGATTTCATTAACCATTTTGCACAGTTCCACTAGTTCCCATTCGTTTCTGCATTGAATGCAGTGAATTGTTTTCAAGGTTCAGTTCATGTTGCATGTTAATACATGTGCACTCCCCCCAAAGAAAAAAGAAAAAAATAGTTGTTTAGACATGTCCTTCTCTTTTGTTTCTGCTTTATTATTTATCATCAAAATTGAAAGAAATAGACCCAGATGAAAGAAAGCAAACACTAATAACCGAGTAAATACAATCCTTATTATTTTTATCTGACACTGAAACACTACACTTTCTATATTCCTGTGCACACCCTAGATCTCTTAGCGTGTTTGCATCGAGCAACACCGCTGGTTCTGTGAAGACCAGATGTATTCATGTGAAATTCCAGTGGATGTATGACTGGAGGGATTGACGTAATTCTGCTCTTTAACGCTGTAGTCACAGGGAGATCTCTGTACATCTCAAATGCTACTGGTGTCAGCTGGAACATAGACATAGCGACCATTTTCCCATGAACACTTAATGCCCCCTCTTCTCGCTGTGCAGTCACTATCACTTGCTGGTTGGAAGCTCAACAGGCAGTCATCAGTGCAGACCTAATCTCCTCGTCCTCTTTCCTCCATGGACCCTCTGATCAGCCTGATGTCTGACACAAGAGAGGAAGAGGGATTATGGTTTCACGTCTGCATGGGCTGCTCAATCCATGCCTGCATATATTTTTTGTGTTACCATTCGGCTTTCTTTAATATTTTTTAAATTGTTAATTATCTGGCTATTATTCATCACTTTTTCCAAATGAGCCCTGTAAGGCAAAGAAGAATTAATTGCTGTTATCGAGTTGGAAGAATGCAAGGTTTTTTTGTTTTTTTCACTGCAGATGTACTGTTTATCTTTTTACACCTGCAGGTATAGCCAACAACAGGAAGCTGTCTAAAATATTTTGTATTAGGGGGCTTTTTTGTTATTTACTTTATCAGTTGTGTGCTTTTTTATTGTTCCTGTAAAAGAACATTATCTGTTGCAAGAAACATAGGAATCCTTATCAATTGGAAGATATTGAAAAGAAAGATCAAATATGGCTGATACAGAAGAAAAGGTCAGGGAATGGAGGGATGAATTAACAACGTAAAGACTTTGAGTGCTGAACCATTTCAGACAAATACCTCAATAGAATATCTTAGAAAATATGCGCTATGGTACAACAAATGATATTGACGGGATCGATCCACTGACCCTCCAATTGGTATATTCCTGAATGCAACACACATATAACTACATTCTTCTCTTTTTATGTTACATGTATCACAGAGGTGTGCACAACTATACAGTCAGCAGAAGTCACCATTTTCAGGCCTCCTTCGTAAGGCTTCTTTTCCTATGTGCATCAGATGTTGCACGGATCCTGCTTGGGTAAGAAGATAGATACATCTATATATAGACTGTGTAGGCATCCAATGCACATATCGTTTTTTGCATAATGTCTTTCCAGCATATGTGTTGTATGTATGTTCCTCATATATCACAGTTAAAGTGTTTCCCTGCTCCGGCATTATTCCATTTTCAACACAGGCGTTGGTTAGAGTCTTGGACTGATTATGAGGTGTTTGCCCACTGAGCACAAACACATCAAATGGCCTCTAATCCACTAACGCACCTGAGTTGGGGTCCATAAGCCCGTTGTCAACAGTGCACAGTAGGACCATTTCGTTACTCACTCAATGTGGTACCAGATGGGAGGGACTAATAATAACAACACAGTATCATCAATGGTCCACGCTCACCATGTGGTGATGTCTACTCCTCCATCTGGGCTATGAATGGTGTGTGCAGTCAAATGGTGCTACTGTCGTCATGTACCTCTGATTCACTATGCAGGATAATATCAGACTCATCGACTTAACATGGTGTTACAGATTCGTTATCTGGCTGTCATATTGGTAGAAATAGATTCATCATCAGAAATATTCCTAGTCCAGTCTGCTCTGATTGGATCTGGCTGGCTCTGTTGTGATTGGTCAACCATTTAGAGATGTCCCGCCCCGTAGCATCACATACAATGTGTTGGAGCACTATCCAATAGAAGCATGAATGTAACGTAGTGATGTCACTATGTTACAGAAGTAAACAAAGGAGTCTAATTGAGGCGTTTCAGGCAGGAGGGGAGAGAAAATCCCTTTGGAGGGAACTTTGGGATTTTAGTCTTTGTAGACCATTTACATGCACACAACCCTATATAACACACTACAGGAAAGGGAAAATCCCTTGTAAAAGGGCCTCTTTAACTTTCCAACTATTCTCACCTGTAATTTGTGTTAACTGCTAGTAAGCATACTTTAGAAGAACATGGTAGAACATGGTAAATATCAGCAGGTTATCTTTGTAAGACTAAGCTTTTTAGGATGTATTTATTTAAAATCCCCACTGTAACTATGCGGCCTCAGAGAGTTGCTATGGCTGTAGACTAAATACTGCATACTACATACAACATACTCAATCAGTAGGTACAGCATATATATATATATACAGTAAATGTTTTCAAGCAAAAAAACATATAATGACAGAATTCATCTGGACTTTACGTCATGACCTACTTTCCTTCTAACTTCCTTTTTTCTGAAGTCAAAATAAGCTACAAATATATTGTCTACCTCCACCATTCACGCCTTTTCAAGAGGTGTTAACCCATAATAAACCTCCTCACAAAGCATTCATCAAACAGCCAAACTAAAGGTGTCGACATGCTCCAATAACGACAACAAACCTTCTCAAAAATATCCACTGCAGTTTTCACGTTTTTTATTATGCTACTTTTGGATCATCCCCTTCTTGTGTTAAATGATGTGATAAGAGGTCAAATAAGACAAATAGGTGAGAAGAGATATAGAAATAAGGGATGATAATGATTGTGTGAGTTGCGTATCCTCAAAAGAAAGTTTGTAGACTCATTTGAATGTGAACGCAGCATCAAACTTATCCATTGGTTCATTCTCTTTCTGAGTGCACTCTTCGGCAGCTCTTATGGGTTTGCTCCATAGACCTCACACGGCAGCAGGACTTTTTACAACTACTTTGTGGGGGAAATATAAATTAACTAAAGGGCTCAATATTGAATCTACTATAGGACATGGAAGAAGGAGTCATAGGAGTAAACACAGACCTAATCACATATAGTGTAACCATGACACTGTGAAAGGTCATTCTATCTCAAGGCTGGGATTATTATTTCCTCTTTTATTCCATAGCAGGTTTTTCCCCGACACCTGTTTTATTTCATAATGTCTTTTTAAATAATATAATATTTTTCTGTCAGTCAAGACACACAGTAGATATGTTTGGAACATCATTTATACATTATCATGTTAGTGCTAGACTACCTTAATGTGGGAATTGGGTTATGGGAAGCTACTTTTACTTCTGTGTAGTTTAAACTAGAATAATGAATCCCATTTTATCATTTGAGTATTTGTTTTCAATAACTATCAACATGAAAAGTAGCAGTGCAAACGACTTCTGTCAGGTTTTTCTAATGAAGTAAAAACATTTCTCCTTGAATTGTAGTGGAGTAGAATTATAAAATAACACACAGTTAAAATACTCGATACATATAAGTGAAGAATAGCAATGTATACATTATACATTATTTCAGTAGTCCAGAAACGGTGTCTTTCCACCACTGATCATATTTGTTTTGTATTTGTACATCAAACATCTAACCCCGAATAACATCAATTGTAAGTGTTGTTAATTTTGTATAGTTTGATGTTTGATGCTCCTTTCTTTAAACAATTACATTTTCTTTATTGAGAGAACTTCACATTGAGAATGATGATTGATATGTTTGTGTTTGTGTGCTCAGTTATTTATTTCACATTGTATATGTTTCAATTTGTTTTTACAATTCACAACAAGGTTGATATACAGAAAAAAGTAATTAACAAAACATCAATATCCTTCATTTTTTTGTTTTTTGAAAATTAAATATACTCACAGCAACTAAAAGTTATAGAGATGAACCGCAGACAGGTATTAACCTTCATTATTATACACTTTCTGTAACACTGGTGTATTTCCCTGTGTGGGCCCACAAAAATAAGTGCCTTATAGGGCACAAGAAAATGCCCTTCATCCAACAGAAGCAACAATATATACTCTGCTCCGAGATACAAGAAGAGCGACATAGTTGCAGAACAGGTTTATCAGAGCCTGTTCCCTTTCAGGAAGGCTGTTCCAGTTGGTGCATGCTGACGTACTGAGGTCATTTTTACTGAGAAAAGGAAAGAAGGGAATGGAAGCGTGCAGTGTTTCTTCTGTGTGTATTCTCAGGTGACACTCAGTGACGCCTGTTTGTCGAGAGAATATCTGACAGCTTAACCGAAAGCCAGTTGGCTTTGCAGAGCCACAGGTATGTGGTGTTTCCTGTCACTGCTGCTGCAGCCCCTCTCCCCTCAATACCAGTATAAGTCCTTCTTTTCCAGACGCCGTCCTGTCCCAAAGGAGACAAAATGTCAATGACTTCCAAGCAGCTCTAATGAACAAGCATGCAGTGTAAAAATAAGCAGTAATACAAATATGTCATCCATTTTACACGGCAGCATTTCTTAGAATGAGATGCACACCTGAGGAGTTGCCATCAAGATAATAACAAATACCTTACCTATAGTTCCTAAATAACTCAGGAACAGGATTTTAAAATCATTGGTTTTTTATTATCTGGTTATTAGCTCAACCTTGCACATAATTACACAACTACTGTGTTACTTTAAGTTAAGCAACATGATTGTAACAATCGCATGTGTAAATCAAAGTAAATGTTCTCTATGTTTGGTAACAATTTTTTATAATTTACTATTTATTAACTACTAATACCTTCCAGTAAAAGAAGATCTAATAATTGTTCTATAACTGTTACATCAACTTTATCTGACACGACACAAACATAGCTGCACATTATGCTCAAAACCAGGAAGAACAGGTAATTTATTAAGGGACATTTTGCAACTGTCTAATATTTCAAGCTTAGGAAATGTAGTTTTCCCTTAAAATGTGGAGGCTTACAAGAGTTAAATATGGTTCAGCTGAGGCTGTATTCATGTCAAGATGCTAAAATGCCCGAAACTACACTTCCCACAATGCAACTTCAAATTGTTTGTTAGACTCTCCATGCCTTCCAAATGTCTACATCCAGATCCTGAGTTTGTTATGCAAGCTTTTTATTAATATTGGTTGAAAGACATTAAATATGTTACAGCTGAAGGCTCACCATGTTCAAAGCCCACAGCGGGGTCCCCAGGGTCTCTAAATCCCTGAGGCATGGTCCAGCTGGGGTGCAGATCTGTTTTGGAGCTGGAGGCCATGCTGGGTCCCATCTGCCCCTGGTCAATATGCAGCAGGTTCAGCAGGGATGTGGCGTATTGCTGTCCAGTAAGACTCAGCCCTTCTGGGGACAGAGAGTAGGCGATAGACGGCAGCCCCGGGCCCTCTCCCGCCCTGGTGGTGAACGAGGACCACGATCCAGGAGTGTCTTCTACAGGGCTGAAGTTGAGGAGCCGTCCTGCTGCGGGGGGGCCCTGTGAGTCTGAGAAACAGTCAGCAGGTCTCCCCTGAGGGCTGTTGTCTTCTGAGGTGGACACAGAAAGGAGTGAGGATTAAATGGATTGTCCTGTTTGTAGTCAGGTCGGTCATACACTGTTGATTTTGTCTGCTTACCCAGTTTAATAGTTTTGCGGATTTTCTTTGTCTTTCCTCCCGGCGCCTTGGCCTTGCAGACTTTGCTGAGAGCACGGTTAAAGTGAGCATCCACCATGCTGTTGATGTCCCCCTGGAAATAAGTCAGGATGACGCACCGAGAGTGCTCCTCCACCTTCACAGCTATGGGACTGTCTGTTCTGTCCTCCATGGTCAGCTGTGACTGAAACCCCAAAACAGGTTGTTTACTTCACAAGAAACATCCAACTGTGTTTAATATCATTTACAAAACAGTACACATTTCAGTTGGTCTTTTTTTGCATATTGTAATGACATGTTATTTTGTTTATTGTTTCCCTGGAGCCACTAATAATCCAAATATTTAAGTGTTTAGGATGACTCACTGCTGACTTGTCCCTGAAGCAGACCGATTGTAGTTCACTTCACATAGAGTTACAAACATTTAATAAAAACTGTATGAGTGACACTTTTATTGTTAATACACGTATATGTTAGAGTGCATGGAAATCCCTTTTGGGGCACAATATGTTTACTATAACATCAACAAATCTATTCTTAGAAACATGTTAACATCTCGCAAAATGCAGTTCTTAATTTGCCATTGTATTTGGACATTTAAAAATGACTTAGTAAATGATATATTGTGTTAGTTTGCATGGCAGGATGTTTAAAAAAGAGGCTGAATTGCACTATTGATGGGGCCTAACTTGGGGGAAACATCTCTGCCACTGTAACTGAAAACGATATGAAGTATAGTACAGAGGTATACAGTAAAGTGAAAATTAACAAGCGCTTAGTGGATTGAAACAAACGTAATTTAAATGCTGTTGTGAATAACTGAATTATAGTTTCAGTTCAAATAACTTGCTTATCTCTTACCTGACCTGATGATTGAACAAAGATGACCAGTGAGTGCGTCCTTACATTTACCGGAGGATCAAAGCTGATGATGTTCACGTACTTAAGCAGCCGTCAAAATGGTTGTAAAAAATGTCCCCTATCTTAAGTTTAAACATCAGAGTGATTGATAAGATTTTAAGAACCTTGTCTCTTCTACGGCAACATACTTCCTTCACTGAGCCTCCAGAGGAACATGTTGTGTTGGACTAGCAGGGTGTGCTTACAGAACACAGACAGCTATGAACAGAATGCCATCCAGCAAGTTGCTCCAGAAACTGACTGACATCTTATTAAAACATTCCTCTGTCGCACTGTCAAAGAGTTACAACAGTTTAACAGAAGCTGCACAGTTATCTGCCAGTCAGAGAGGCTTGAAAATAAAGTTAAATCTCATTAACGTGTTCCCTAGTAAACAAAAACAAAATTGTATTCATTAAATGGACCTGAAGAACCCATTCATGGCTTGTGTGGTTGGTTCTCATTATTCCAACTGCATTCACTCAGTAGTAAGTATTTCCTCCATACTTGCTGTAATAATAACAAATGTTTTTGTTCCTGCTCACATTTTGTCTGTCAAACCTTAACCACAGATATGGGTGGCAATATCACCTTTGAAAACCTACACAAATAAGAAACACATTTATAAAGAAGCAATCAGGCTAATAATTGTTTGCTAATTGTGTAGATTTGATGTAAGCAAAACATATATATTTTGATCATTTCAACATTTTATACAGGATATCAGTAAATAAAGATAGGAGAAGATAATCATACCATTTTACCACACTATGATTTAACTCAGTTGTAGTCAGTTACTTTATTTAACAGTCAAATCATTACACAGGAAAGAAAGCTACTTTTAGATGCTCAGAAAGCTTACACCTATATTTTGATAGCATTGACATTCAAAAATACCTTAGCCTTACCATCATGAATACTATCATTTTAAAGGTCAGAAGAAGCACACGATGGTGTTATGTCTTACAAATTGCGCATTCAAGTATATAATTAACTACAATTTCTCACAAACTGTACTAGACAACAGTTCTAGGTTACAGATGCCGCTCTTTATATAACATTTCTATTACATTTAAAACTGCTTCTGTGCCACATAGACATCACTCATGAATTTACTATTCAGGTTTTACAAACACAAAATGTTCTTTTTAAGCATCAGCCACTCAGCTCTACGATGAAAGCAGTAATATAAACTTTAAATGTGAGATGTAGATTGAAGGCTTTTGAAGATGCATTTTTTATAGCACACCTTTACTGTCCTTTGACCTGACAGTCAGCGCAGTATAATGATTATTTTCCTGGCTATGATAAGCATTCAGGAGTGTCCACAGACACATTGTACCTCGTTGAACTTGTGGTTTATTTGCTATTCCCCTGCCTATAATAACAGCCAACCAGCTGCTCTATTTTCTGCTATCAGTGTTTGCAGAATGGACCTTGGAGGGTAAGTAAAGCTGCACTGTACACATTAGCACACACAGAGGCTGGCTCACGCCCTCTGGTGGTGGTTTGGTGCAGATCCTGTGGAGGAGTCAGAGACCTTCCTGTTGGTGGAGGTTTCGTCAGAAGCGACTGAGTCAGAGTTAACAAGATGGTTATTTTTGCCGCCCATGGTCACAGAGTGGCTCCAGTCTGCACACACAGGGGACAAGAAAGAGAAAAAACAATGCATCCTCCAGAACACTTCAAACCATCTGTCCAATAAACTGCAATATGTTCTTCCTATAAACAATATGTACCTGAGTAATCACTGAGTCTGAAACGTCCACAGCACAAGTGGATTTTCCACTGTTTCCTCACATTTTCCTTCATCACACAGTGGAACAAAAAGACAAAGAACCCTAGGACAAAAGAGCAGATATAGTAGACATTTGTGAAATACAACAGCATTATTTAGACATTTTTCTTTGCAGTTTGTTTTATATCATAATTGCATTTTCATGTATTATCTTGCATTCTCAAAGTGTGTTGTGTTTAAAAAAAAAACGAGGAGATACACATGCTTTTTTTTTAAAGCAACGAGTAAGTCTGACCTTTTGAAAGAAAAATGCAAAATAACAGAGTCTGGACAAGACTATTTGAAGATGATTGGCCCGTCCGTAACTAATGACTGCTTAATGACCAGCTACAGCTCATATTTACCCTGCAAGGTGTTGAATATGGAGAACAGGTACATCATGGCCACTTTGCCTGGCCCAAATGAAAAAAAGCCCATTGACCACGTCAGGCCCAGCAGGACGGTGAGACTGGCCACCGCCCTCATGTCTTGCAGAGAGTTGGGGCTGCTTGTTGACCGTTTATTGGTCCTCATGTGTCGGATCTGGATCAGAACCACGACGAACACAGAGACGTTGCACAACAGGATCAGCAGGACAAATGCCACCACCGTCACGTAGAAGAAGACGTCATTCTGCAGCCAGCAGCTGCAGGAGGGAGAGGGTTGGATAATTGGTCAGAACACTGGGATAGGATAAATGACATCAACAATTCATTTTTCATTTATGTTATAAGACACTCAAATGACGTGTTTCAATACAGCCCAGTGCTTGTACTTACAATTGGTCGGTGGACTTAAGCATCCCTGCAGTTTCTATAGGCTCAGCGCTGCCATAAGCATCTTTATCTATAGCCAGGACCAGGCTGACTATCACCAGAGGAATACCTATGAGAACACAAAAATACAATTCATTTAGAGTTAAGAAAATATCATAACACTGTGACAAAACAGAATACAATATTGAGTTTCTGTCTGTTGCAGTTTGCGATTGTGACATTCATTCTCAAATGCAGAAAAATGGGTCTTTTTAATTGCTAGCCAAACTCACAGGTCAACTGATTATGCAGTTATGTGTAATTTATTAGAATGTGAAGAAATAATTCAACGTGGAAAGATGACGTTTTTAATGATGTATAACGAACAAATAAATATTAAATGGGTTATAAATGGAACTTTTTCTCTCAAGGACATTCCTATTTTCTATATAATAAATTATATAGCTCTTTGAAATGATTGAAAAGTATTGATCCTCTTAAACAAAGGGCTGCCCAACCAAACCCCAGCTTCTTGATCCAAATTAATCAAAATCCTCTCCTGAACCCAAATCAACCCGACTGGACTTTTTTTATTAGAGTTAGCATTATTTAAAGTTGTGTCTCACCCCATCCTGCAGCACAGAACTTGAGGATGTAGGAGGGAACGTAGATGTTGAAGACCTTGACAAGTGCGAAGTACATATGCACGGCCTCCAGGCCCATCCAGGTGAAAGAAGCCAGCAGGAAGTAGTGCAGCGTTGCAGCAGTGGCGATGCAAAGCCCATAGTTTGAGAAGGAAGAGAGCCAGGAGTTCAGAAGGAAGAGCATGCACAACCCCAGCAGGGCAGCCGACAGGTTGATGAGTATCTTAGATGGGTAGTCTCTCCGGAGCTTCCTAAAGTGTTCAACACACAGCGAACAACTCAGCCTAAACGATAAATGAAAAGTCTAAAATCTTGTAAAAGGTATCTGGATTTCATCCTAATGCAAATAGGCAACTATAGTATGTAGAGTGTTTTATTAACAAATCCTGAAATGAAATTAAAACAGTAATGCTTAAACATTCATTTATGTAATGAGTGTTGTTGAGTACTACAGCAAAATCTTCGCTTAAATATGTTCTCTACCATATCAATCTTTTACAATGTGAAAGTATATCTCAGACTGAGTGACTTACTCAAAAGAAAGGTAGGTGAGAAGAGTGATTCCGAGAAATATGGCAGATATACCACAACCAAGATATGAGATCACTGTCAGAATCTGACTGTCAGCTTCACCTATGGGCGTTCTCGATACATCCTGAAACACACCACGAAAACAGAACAAAATGTGTTGTTAACTTGTGTTTGAAGTTCCCTAATGGTCGTATCCAAACAAACACTAAAGGAAGCTGTTCAAACTAATCTGATCATAATTATTTGAAAATGATTTTATGATTCCAAATAAAATCCCAACATTGTAACAGCTTGTTGTTTAATTGGCAGAAAACAATGTAGTGCAGCAACTGGCCAGATTGCACACAGTGTGTTGCTGCTTGTGTGGGTTTCTGTTCCCTGGTTTGATTTATAAAAAAAAAAAGCAAGGCAATGACTCACCAAGAGCACAGCGAAATGTGTGAGGTGATCACAGAGACAGCTGGTCTGATAATCAGAAATACTGTGGGTTGTACATCCTCTGCTGTTCCAACCACCCTGCCCACCTGTCTCTCACACACACACACACACACACACACACACACACACACACACACACACACACACACACAATGCTTCCTGTGTTTAGGGGTCTTTATTTATTTATGTTACTGATTAAAAAAAAAAACATGTCAATTGCTGTAAATCGTCTAAATCCAGCTGAAACACATAATAAATGATGATTAACTCACCATTCTTCTGGAAATCCCAAAACATACACTGCACCTTGTCCCCTGGCTGTAAGAAAAAACGTAATAATGATATTATAAGACTGAATTACAAAACCCTTGTTCTTGCTGGTGAATGTATCCATTAACCTTTATGGCTGTTTGATGGCTGAGGGTCACCACCACTCGATCCGTGAGGTTTCTGACCATGCTGTTATTGATACTGGCAGATACTATAAAGGAATTCAATTGCCAGCTGCTCTGAGTTGCATTGTTTGTGTATGGGTCCTGTTAACAAAAAGAAAATGGTCACAATAAGAGGCAAGGAGGATATTGGTCAATAAAATATGCTACAGTAGGAGAGAGCAGATTTGTCCAACAATTGATTCTTCATCTCTAAACATTGGGGAAAATATAATTAGTTTAAAGTCTCACATTTATCTTGTAATTGTTTCCTTGCAGTTTGACATATTTTGCTGATGGTTTCTTAATGAGAGTTACATTATTATGTGTAATACCACTCCCCTGTGGTAAATATGAATCTTAAGGAACAACCCAGTTTCACGGCATTTCGTGTTATAGTCACGAAATTAATTTAATCTATTGATTCGTGTTCATCAACACGATTTTTGCATTTTTTCGTGTCACACAGAACGATTTTAAAAGCAATTTATTTCTATTGGTATCCTATATTTCGTGCCTGCACCACGTCTTTTTGTCCGGTCGGGTCTTGGAAGACCAGAAGCTGTGTGGTTCATAAAAACATTTTTCTTCCTCAATATCGTAGCCTAAGCCTAACCCTTTTATTTGAAATTGTATAATGTCTGAGTTTTTTTGCCGTCTGCGAGGAAAATAAATGGGGCTCAGAGCCCTCTAATTTGTTGTTATTTGGTGAAGGCACGAACCAGTAGAAACACATTGCTTCTAAAATCGTTCTGTGTCAGAATACTGAAATCTGTATTTTTTGTATCTCTTTTTCCTTCAAATTTGTTATTATTTACATTGCTTTTCAAATCGTTCTGGGTGACATGAAAAAAATGCGAAAATCATGTTGGTGAACACGAATCAATAGATTCATTTCGTGACTATAAAACACGAAATGCCGTGAGACTGTTTTGACAGTATAGCAATCAGCTAGTTAGCTTAGCTTAGCACAAAGCCTGGAAACAGTTAGTAAGTATCTATGTAGAATCCTCTACACCCCTAAAAATAAACATATCCTCATTCTTTCTCACAAGATAACCAATATTTGACAGTTTTAAAACGTTTTAATAGTGAGATGCGTATAGGCGTTTCTTTAGCTTTGGACTCAGGTTAGTAGCTAAGCTAAGCTATTTAAATCCTGGCTTTAACTTTATATTTATTGCACAGAAATAGGTTTAGTGTCAATCTTCTTATTTGACTCTCTGCAAGACTGCAGCTTGGCTTATTTTGTCACAACTGTAAGAATGATTTGGTCTGCGTAAGGTTTTGTATACTGGAAATCTAAATGGGAGAAAAAAGCAACAATAACAAAACAAGATGACAAATACAAACAACAGAAAGTACCTGAAAGAGCTCGTTTGATGCATAGAATTGAAACTGAATACGAGTCGTATTTCTTTCTCCAGGAGGGAAATAGTTGTAGAGTTCAGAAGGCAGAGAGATGGTTGCATTTGTGGCAGGGAGCGGTTCACTCTCAAAGTTTTGGTTGACAAAAACCTGGGAAAAGCAGATCAAATTGGAGTCTAAAAAAAGTGTCTAATACAACCAGTTCTTATCATTTCCTTAAAAGCTATATGTGACTCTTTCAGGGCATTAATGAAACAGGAAATGTTAGGTTGAGTTACTTTTGGAGTTCAAAGACAAACTGAAAAATGGCAATTTTTTTGCTTGTGGATATTTCTCAGTAGTACAGTTTATAAATGTATTGCATATAACATTTGTAGCGTCTCACCTCTGGATTCAGGGTTGGGGAAACTGAGGAGACACCAAAGGTGAGGCCACTGAATTTATTACGATCTACATTGATGAGGGACAGGGCCATCGAGGGGGCTATTATACTGACTGATTCCTCTGGGAAGTCCATATTGTTCGCCATTGTATCTGTCAGATTAAGGACACTACCAAAGACAAATTAAAATGAGAGTAACAATAAAACATCAACATTTTAAAGGACAGGATTTAAAAGGAATATACATGTCTGCTGATCACATTCACAGAGATGCAACAGACCCTATCCACTTACATGCCAGCCACAGGAGTGAGGTCAGTTTTAGAGAGCAGAATATTTGCTACAATATTGACGATGTTTGCACCAACAGCAGGTGTGGTGCCGCTGATGTGAACCACCTCACGGAGCTTATCCACCACAGTATCCAGCTCAGAGGAAGAGAGCTCACTTTCACTGTCATCCAACTGGACATCTATAAGGTCCTGAATCATGTCCACAACCCCAGCTGCGTTACCTAGAAATCAAAGATGTCATTAAAGGTCCCCTATTATACTGTTTTTCATCAATATATTATAGGTCTCAGATATATACAAAACAAGTCTCTGAAGTTTTTGGTTTGAAATACCAAACAGATCATTGCAGCATCCCATAATCCCCTCTGTTTCAGCCCTGTTTCAAAAGTGCTGATTTTCTGTCTGTTACTTTAGATGAAAATAAGGAGTCACTCCCCTCTGAGAGATAATTGTTTAAAAAGAACACAATGGTGCTCTAGGAGAAGATTCAGGTGATATGTTGTGTGGGGAGGGGGTTACCTTGGTTGGTTATTGGCTAATGGTTACACAAGCCAAAAAACCGTTATGACATAAAGTGACCCAAATCTGATCAGCTCATTTTCAGACCAGGTTTTTATATAAATGGATCAGGACAAAAAGTGAGCAATTCTTTTTTCCTGAAATGTTCAGAATCTCTTTACACAGAGAGGACACATGTTTATATAAAAGACATTAAAAAGTGGATTTTTTTTTTTTCAATAGGTGACCACTAATGCTTTTTTGTGTGTTTAAGGCCACATTTTCCTCCTTGTGATTTAGTTTCGATGGAAGGAAAAGGAACAAACAAGGACAGCAACATGTTTATATTATCTTAATGAACAAGTAATGAAAGTTCAGACTGAGTGTGTGACTACTTACCAGTAGTGACAGTGATATTGTCGAGGTCTGATATGGTCACAAGCTGCTTGCAATTTTTCATATCAGGATCAGCCCAGCTTGTCGTGTCAGTTTCAATGTCTAACTTACTGAAGAGATAATCAGAGGGAACATAAATGACAGAGACAATTCCTTTTCTCTCCGGTCGGTTTCAAAATTAATGTTTGTATTGGACCTCAAGTAAAGATAAAGATTGATGAAAAGCAATAAAAAACACCTGTCCACTGCTAATGATTCAGTCTTAACAAGCATTAACAGCTTCACTAATAGGACCATAAAACGGATTGCCCATGTCGTCCCTGGACTGATATTTGTATTACATTTGGTAGAGATGATATGGATCATTACTCTAATAACCATAGGAAATAGATTTTATTTGCCTGAGCTGCAGGCTGGCAGGGCTCCATCAGTGTTTCATGTGTGGGGTCAGTGTGTGCAGAGTGGGGGAGCGAATGGAAACAGGACATTGTAATTGTCTCCCTGAGCTGTCTCTATGGCAACAGGTTAAGATAAATAGGATCCAGCGAATAGAGCAATCTAAAAAAGAAAAAGAATCCTGCAATCGGAGTGTTGGCTCAGGCGATTCAGGTTTGTGTGAATAAATCATCATTATAACATTTTCTCACAGTTGTAAATTACTATGCTTTATTATTGTATGAATTACATTATGTGATTTGCTGCTGTATAATGAGTGACAATAAAACACTGGACAGCGTGATGATATGAGGATTAGTGTTTTGGCTGCTTATTGGCAAGCGTTTGGATTATAATCTTGATGATTTAATTGTGTGTGATCCTATATCTTATACACCGAATAAATGGAAGTGAATATCTTACCAAAGCCTGTAGGCTCTTTTTGATTTTGGCTTATTGCATCCCATTTTTTGATTCTCCTGTGGAAATGCTTCAGGCCAAATATATTCTCCGTATATTGTTGAAGTATTTTCTTCCAAACAGTTTGCTGGCACTGAAAAATATTATATAAAGTTATTTTCCATAAATGAATTAATATCTTTAACTGTGTACAGATATCCAGCTTACCTATGTGCTTGATAGCCACTTCCGTAGTTTGAATAATAATGGAATTATTTACATACTTTGCTGTCAAGGCAGCATGAATATAAGCTATAATTTCTGCAACAGGGTTTATGTTGTATTCCTGGACATTGAATGTGCAGTCATACCTGTGGATGAAACACGCAATTAGTGGCATAGAAAGCAAGCAGATCCGGTATTTTTCTGCAACATAAATCTTTTATAATAACCTACAGTTTTGGCTGGCTGTTAAAAATCTAAAAGAAAGGAGAGTAGAGAGATGGTACATTGTGAACATCAGTTATGGCAGTCGTATTAAATATGGTTGAAATGTACAGAACTCATTATATGTTAATCTAATCTGTCTTGTCTCACCATCAGTCCATTTGCCATGTTCCTATGAAATATTACAGACGAACAATTAGTCATCCAGAGCTTAAATATCAGGTGAAACATATTTAACATACTGTAGGATGCTACTTTAGTTTTGCAAAAATACTTGAAAATCGTGTGACCCACCTGCCTACATTCTCCTTTATGATGACATTCAGTACTTCTATGGTGGCATTCACCTCCAGCTGTTCTTTTAACTTTTCCAAAAGACAATAATTTAGTGTGCACATATTTCCTTTTTTGTTGTAAAAACAGCTTTTTCCTGCAGTCGTGTGAGTCTCTTACCCATTTCTCAATAACTTCCTCTGGTTTTGTCGGGCTGCCAGTCATAGACAAGGATAGATTCACTCTGAAGAATGTGTCCAGTGCAACCGCTGGAGTGTACAGACAACAGATAACACAACAGTGCATCTATACAGTACATGTGTATTTAATCATAATTCTGACCGATCATATTTCTGTATCACATTGTCTAAAATTTCACCAACAAAACCAAAAACGTGGTGTTCCTTGACTCAACAGCTGTTTTCTGTCCACTTAAGTGTATTCCCTTCACACCATAATATTTCCTACACATCACCAGTTTGTCATTGTGACACTAAAATAAAAATTAAAAAACGGTTTATGCCAGTCTTTAAAAAAATGTGTCTGTTTGGGGATTGGGTTTCCGAAAATAATATACGCAACCAGTACAACATTTATCACATCACATTATCACTTTAACACTGAATTCTATCATAACAATAAATTAAGTCATTGTTCCCTTCACATTTCATCGTGTCCATTCTCTTGTTTTTTCTTGCTTTCATCACTTTGTTGTGTATTGTTTTGTGTGCATTAGCAACTATTTGAATGTCTTCAGAAGTCTTATTGTGTTTTTGTTACCCATTGTTTTTTTTGCTGCCATTCAGCAAGAAATATTCTTCTGTTATAGGGCAAAATGAAAAACTAAATATTGAAAATTAAAAGAGTCCTAGTTTGTTAAAAGCTCAGTTTTTCTTGCATGCTCACCTGATGTGGGTGCCTCAGTGCTGGAATTTGGAAATGCAGGAAACTCTGAAAGAGAAAATATAATTTTTAAATTAAGATTTTTTAATTTATTTTTGTTTAATTTTAATTCCTTAAAATTCGTTCAATGATGACTGATATGTACATTTGAATAGTCTCACTTGGTCTAATCAAATACAAACTTTTTTTTAGAAACACAGAGAAGAATGTCTGTAGAGTGGGTCTAATGTTTTACTGCAGTTGTGTGTATGCATCACTAAATTAACTATTCACCAATTGCAGAAGATTTCATTGTACTCTAAATTATCCGTTTTTTATGTTTGCACATCAAGGGAACATTTACAGTTAAACCCAGTGTCTGCTTACTTTCTATAAAACACAAGAACTGAACCAATATCATAAAATGATTTACGTAAAGGTACTTTCAATAGAAAAGGTCAACCTTATGTGAAATAAACATACATCTTTTTTTAAGACTATAAGAAAGGTCATAAAATGTGTGTTAATGTTTGACTGTTGCAATAGTCCACTAAAACATAACATAAAGTGCATTTAGTGCGCAGTCTATACGTACCCACAGGCAGAATACTGATGCTGCTAGGGTAAGCTGTCAGTTTGAGGAAGTCGTAAGAGAAGGTCGAGTTCAACAACGAGAGAATGCTCGCCTGAACCACTTCAACTTCAGCAGCAGGAGTAACGCTGGCATTGACTTCACATCTGAAACTTTGCATTTATCACAATATATCACATAACAGGATATGTTGCTTGTTTTATGCAGCTTAAGTCATGCATCCCTCATATTCTGTCATTATTATTATTATTATTATTATTATTATTATTATTATTATTATTATTATTATCTTGTATTTATCTTACCACTTGTCACAGCTGGAGTTTGACAATGCTCTTAATTCCTGAAAACACATATCACATCATCAATCTTTAATAAAGAATTGTACACTTTCAGATGGTGACTTAAACTAACTAACGAATTATGTTAGTATGATCCAAATCCAAAATCATTCATTTAGTTGGAAAATTGAATTCAGTAATTTATCGTCTCAATAAAAGAAAACGTTCATCCGTTCCCTAATCAGCTGGCCTTTAAGGATATTGCTACTTCTTTACAAGGAAAATTATAGTAATAGTGTTGTACCTGAGGCTGTTGCGCAGACAGAGCAGCAGAATTATTAACCACTCGGCAGGCACGGCTGTATGGAAACGGAGATAACGGAAATTACAGACAGGAGTGTTGTGAAGGATTGCAACCATGATCACAGTATACATTTAGAATACAATAAACAATGCACACAAGATATGTTGTTCCCACACACACACACACACACACACACACACACACACACACACACACACACACACACACACACACACACACACACACACACACACACACACACACACACACACACGCACACACACACTGGGAAGTATTTACATAACCTGCATTACAGTAAATCAGCAGTTGAGTTTGAACTACTTGTATTTTACTTGAGTATTTCTATTTCACGCTACTTGATACTTTTACCACGACTCAATTCCACAAACTTGATTTAAATGCTTTGGTAATGATTACTTTAAAGATAACATACAACACAGCATGATTCACACAACATAATGAACGTTATATATGAACGTGTCCAACAGTATATTTAATAGTTCAAATTGGTGACATCTCAACTGTCCTGTCCTCAAAAATCCTGAATTCCACATGAATGCATCAGTGTTAACAATGCAACAACGTAATATATTACAGCACTTATAGAGTATTTCACAAATAATAAGTACACCGAGTAGTTTGGAAATATTTCAAATGCAGGACTTTTACTTTTAATTAAGAACGTTGCTGTTTTGCTATTCAAACTAAGTACCTCAAGGTCCTACCAGCTGACAGGAGTGTTTAGCAAACAAAAGTTGTGTTACCTTGCGGATGACACAAGGATGTCCTGCACCGAGATGTTGTCAGGGAAAATGCTCTGCAACTGATAAGACATGACAACTAAGATTAATTATTTATCTGACTTCTTTGTCCAACGTCATTGTTTGCCCAATCCCATTGACACGTCCAAACATTCGTCATACCCAGTTTTGTGTGACTTCCTCCAGTGACTTTGAACAATTCCCAGGCTCCGTAGAGGGAACCATGGATGTCCACAGTTTGATTTTGTAGTGTGACCATGCTAAAGAAAAAGGAAAGAAAGTAGCTGATTCAAGTAATGCAGTATTAGTTTAACTCATAAACAGGTTTATGGCGAGCTGCTGCTGGACTCAGGAATGTGTTGTTTGCCTTTTCTTTGACCTTAAACTGCCCCCTCATTCAACTCCAACCTACTGTAGAGTGCGTTTTTATGTGATATATATATAATATATAACTCAAACTACATGAACATGAAGTGCAAAAGAAAATGCCATAATATATATAATTACCACACTGTAGGTTGTTGTCAAGCTCAGGAAAGCAGTTGGATTTCCACTGCGTCAGGTCCCACCTCACCAGGTCTCCATCTGCACAGCTCCGTCCCCCCAGCTCCTCAGCGCTCCACTCTCTGGCCCACATCCTGAACCGACCAATCTCACCCAGCAGATCCTTCCCAGTCTCCGGCTTCACTTCACCGCTCATGATTATATGAGACATCCCCAGAGTCAGAGTGCCGTTTGGGGCCAGCTGTTGGTTTCGGAGGGGTTTCAAAGATACCTCATACTGACTACTTCCATTTATGTAGATCTGCAGCCTTCGAGCGTGGTCACACCAGGTGACGCAGACAGAGTACCATTCATTCAGTTTCAATCCCCATTTCAAGCTGTGTTCTTCTTCAAACAGCCAAACTGACAGTTTTTTACTTGTGCCCCCAAGTCTCATGCGTCCTCCTCCTGGTGCTCTGTAGTCAAAACCTGTCCATTCTGAGTCAATGGTGCGGCGTAAAAGCGTGCACACAGTCAGCTCCTTAAGGGCTGGTAGCACAACATCTGGCTGAAGCTGCCAGGTACACCTAGGAAACAGGAATACCAGCTTCTTGCCCCACAGGCTAGTACTGGCAGAGGCAGCTGAAACAGTTGAAAAGAAGAAATAGAAAAACGATGTATTGGATTACACTCAAAAGAAATGACTGACAGGCACAATATATGCCATCAAAACAATCAATTATTATCGATTGCTAATATTATAGACACTTTTTGTATTTACAGCTATTACTCTTTGTACATATTTGTTGTCAAGTGCTCATTTATTTCTGTGAAATCTTACTTGAACCTAGGATCTGCCAACACAGACAGATTAGAGTTATAGATGACACGCTCCTGAAGGAGTTCATGACAGCAAACGCTTTCAATGTCAGTCAAGTGGTCATCTGCTGAAAGTTAACAATATGATAAACAGTTTTTAAAGTTGCATTCACCTTGAAATAACACAATTATATTGAACATAGCTTTATGTTGTTGAATAAATAGACTTACCACAATCATATCCTTGATATCTGAAGTTCAGAAAAAATCAATATCCACTCACGAGAAGCGTCTGAGCCATGAGTCTGCTGGCAAACGTCACTTCATTTCTCTATAAGAAGACCTCCACGCCCTCTCCCTGTAGTTCCCTGAGTTACTCATTAATCACCGGCAATAAACATAACTAACATGTATGATAAAGTTGCAAGTACAACATCATGAAATCTTGGAAAAAGGGAAGCTCTGAATCCTCCCATTGACACATGTATGTCATTTGTTTGCAACTGTATTGTTGAGTCAGAGTTCCAGTGAGGGTTGTATTGGTAAAATACATCTCTTATCAAGGCTTAAAATGAAAATAAATACTGCAGGATGTTGATACATGACACATACCCGTGTTTGTGAAGATTTCGATGACACAGACCACATGGCTTGTGTCAATACATAACACGCTTCCTTTTTTTTAATTCCACATGGCTGCCTCTGAGAATTGGTTTTAATCTAAAAAAAAGAAGATCTTGCAGGGTTATGACCCAGACAATGGGTGTGTGTGTGTGTGTGTGTGTGTGTGTGTGTGTGTGTGTGTGTGTGTGTGTGTGTGTGTGTGTGTGTGTGTGTGTGTGTGTGTGTGTGTGTGTGTGTGTGCGCTTTTTCTATATGTCAGGTCTGCAAACAGTAATATTCAAATGTTGTGCTTTACAGTTCTTTACAGTATACTCAAGTAATAACTGTTCAAACAAATCTAATTGGCTTTTCTTTGTGACGCATGAAGGCCATTTCTGTCTTTTTTCTCAACTGTACACACCTGAAAGTAAAGTCAGTCCATACGGCTTTACTTATCTTATCATTTGAGCCTA